ATTATCTCGCCTTTGGTGGTTTCACATGCCATATTGAATCCGTTTAGAACCAGAGTTGCGGGTGTGACCTGGTCCTGCAGGCCGAGCTGTTCTATGACCCTCGATCTGATGATATTCGCCGAGCTACCTGGATCAATTAACACACACTTAATTTTAGTTTTATTCATGAGTACGGATATTACCAGTGCATCGTTATGGGGTTGGATGACTCTCTCTGCATCTTCATCATTGAAAGAGAGTCTCTCTATGGGTGTGTAATCTTGAGTCCGAGATCGTTTTTCCCTCACAATCGATGTTTTAGTGCGTTTAAGCACCGATCCCTGAGGGGTATCAACGCCGCCGATGATCATGTGAATGACGTGCTGCGGTTCTTCTAGATCGTTTTGCTTGCCGAAATCCTTGTTCTTAAAATGATTCTTCGCCCTATCACTCAGAAATTCCAGAAGGTGCCCTTTGTTAAATAAGCGGGCCACTTCCTCTCTTAATTGCCTACAATCTTCCGTTTTGTGGCCATGGGTGCCATGATATTTGCACATTTGATTGGGATTCCTTTGGTCAGGATCGCTCTGCATGGGTCGAGGCCATCTGGTGTCTTTGATGCGTCCGATAGCCGACACGATGGCGGATGCATCAATGTTGAAATTATATTCTAATAATCGAGGAGCTTCTATAGGATCGGCATATTTTTCAAAGCCGCCCTTGCTCATAAGTCCCCGAGAATTTTGCCCTCGATCAGTCCGATTGTTCCGAACTGTATTACGTGCTGAACCGTTGTTCATCCGATCTATGACATATGGTTGATATCGGTCTCTGTTCGACCTTTGTTCTCTGCTGATCTCCCTCTAGTTTTTAGTGGTTGTCTGGTTCTGATGCACGGGTCCATACGGAGCTTCCAATTGATCGTCCTCGACCCTGATTTTCGATTGATACCGGTTGTGTACATCTGCCCAAGTTATTGCTGGATACTCGATCAAATTTTGTTTCAACTGACGTGATGTTGTCGAACTTAGCTCGTTCAACCCTTGGGTGAAAGCTTGTACGACCCAATCGTCTGTGACCGGTGGCAAATCGATACGTTCCATTTGAAATCGGTATACGAATTCCCTCAGCATTTCGTTACCCCTTTGTTTTACTTTGAAGAGGTCTGATTTCCTTGTTGCAACCTTTATGGCACCAGCATGTGCTTTTACGAACGAATCTGCTAACATGGCAAAAGAATCGATGGAATTTGGTGGTAAGTTGTGATACCATATCATTGCTCCCTACGCGAGGGTCTCCCCGAACGTTTTCAACAACACGGATTCGATCTCATCGTCCTCCAAATCGTTGCCTTTGATGGCACATGTGTAGGAGGTGACATGTTCGTTAGGATCATTTGTACCGTTATATTTGGGAATTTTGGGCATACGGAATTTTTTGGGGATTGGTTTTGGGGCCGCGCTCGAGGGAAAAGGCTTTTGTATGAATTTTTTCGAATCCAACCCTTTTATCATTGGCGGAGCCCCCGGGATTTGATCGACCCTGGCATTATATGTTTCCACTTTCTTGTCGTTGGTTTCGACTCGTTTTGTGAGTTCCTCGAGCAATTTAGCAATTTCAGGAGTGGTCCCCGATTCTTGCTTGTTTGATTTCACTATGGCGGGCTCCGTTATGGGGGTGACTTCTCGAAGAAGTGGATTGGAGTCCGGCCTGCTTTGCATATGAGTTTGGCTCTGTAACTGAGCTATCGCTGCTTGTTGGGCTTGTAGCATTTTGAAGATCATACGCAAGCTGACCCCGATTTCCCCCGTGTTGTGGGTGTCTCGGGCTATGGGTCAAGCACCACCCTGAACGCTTCTTTCCGGTTCGGAACGCTGATTCGCCCCCAGAGCTATTTGTGAATTGACATCTAATGGTACTTCGGCTCGAATTTCAGGTTCTTCGACTCGAGCCTCGTTGCCATCGTCAGGTAGCTTTCCGACCCCGAGTGCCAAGTTGTTGGTTTCATCTTGAAGGCCGACTTCGAGGTCGATAGGTAAAGTCATTGCTGACTTGAAGTTGTAAGCTGGAGTGTACTGTAGATTTATATCAAACAATCACTGTTACTCTTAGCCCCACGGTGGACGCCAAACTGTTTACCCGAAAAATCGGATAACGTTAAATTTATGTATGGTTCTAAGGGTACGTAATATCCTTTGATACAAAAATAACAATACAAGTATTTTGACTGTGAGGATAGAAAATGATGAACATAGAAATTGGATAAGATCAAATAAAACAAGCACAAAGAGATGTCTTTTTGTATGAGAGAAGATCTGTCTATTGCAATCTTATGTTCCTCCATAGCTTTCAAGGACCCTCCCTTTTATAATAGAGGGTCATTGCTTTATCTATAACAAAATAATAAAATAATGCATGTAGTGGAGGACCCATAATGATTTGTCTCTTCCTTGATTTCTGCCAAGATTCTCCCCCATAGTGTGGTTGCAACGGCTCTTGTCTGCGAGCTCGATTCTGGCTCGAGCTCGGTATTGAATCGAGCCCCCGGTCTTGGTTCGAGCTCGATTCTGCCTTGGAGGATCGATATTCGGGGTGAGCATTGGTCGGTCTAGGCATCTTCGATAATCTGCGCCTTGCCTCGTAGTTCGATTTGGATACGAGCTCGATAATGATACCGGGCTTGTCATTGGTCGGTCTTATAGCTCGAAGCTCGATGCCCTTACTTCGGACCTCGATCGAACTTGTCATGCAAATACCCTTTGATCGAAACATCATCGTCTCTACCAATCCGTACGACTGAGTCAACCGATTTTGATCGTACACATCTCAGGATGAACTGCAAGCGCAATGACAATGATGCTCGCAAAGCCACGGGTGAAGGTGGTACTGTTTCTGCCGGACCAGAGGCTCGTCTGGCTAACCCAGGACTGCTAACTCTTGTGCCCTTGCGGCTGCTTTTAGTTGTTAATTCCAAATATTAATTAACTGATTAAGATTTAAGCTTCTTAGTACTTAGGAATTTCATAAAATTTAAATTAGATAATTACCAAGGTAAATAAAAAATTAGCTGTGTATAATACTTTTATACTATTAGAAAAGGGAAATAGGGTTATGAAAATGAATACATATCTCTAATACATATTAAGTTTAAAAATCTTACTATAAAACATGTTTCTGGACGAAGAGGAATTTTGTTTTTGCTTACACCATAAATTCATCATAAACATCGGAACTTTGATGCCTGTAGTCGGAGAGACTATTTAGCCATTCACCTAGCGTTTTCTTAGCTTTGTGTCATATCTATATTATATTTTACTTAGATAGTCGGCAAAATTAAATGAAAACGTTAATAATTTTTCAGGAAGAGATAAAACGGTCAAGTCCTTCGAGTGTAATGCTTGACTCTCTATATGTCCGGCCAAGCATCTTCAAGCGAATGGGAGTAAAGAACATTTTATATATACGTTACTACAAATAATTATTTTTACACTCTACCTTTAGTCCAAACCGGAATCAATGTTTGGCCATGAAAATTTTAAATTTCACTTGAAGTTAAATTTCAAAATTTTTCGAAAAACTCCAAAAAAGCTATTTTCAAAATTTTCACTTTAAATCACTCACAAAAATTCAAAAACAGCTCCAAATTGAATTCATGTTGCACAACTCTAATTTTCAAATACCATTTCACTTGAATACTTTTTTTCTTTCACGTTTTCCAAAATTTCATAATTCAAATGTTCAAACGCCGACGTAGTGGGTGTTTGGACACAAGAATTATGAAATTCCAAAAAAGAAGTGATTTTTTTTTTCAAATGAAAATGATCTTTAAAAATTTGAGTTGTGTTTGGACATGAATAAAATTTGGAGTTGTTTTTGAAGTGAAAATTTTGAAAAATAATTTTTTAGAGTTTTTCAAACTTTTCGAAAAATTTCGAAATTCATTTTCAAGTGAAATTTGAAAATTTCACGGCCAAACGCTGATTCCGAAAAAAAAAATCTTTTTGAAAAAAAGTAAAAAAAGAATTATGGCCAAATGGGCTCTTAGTGTGGCAATTTAGTCCACGTGTCAGATATTTGGAGAGGGGGCACCGGTTGAGACTAATGTGGTAAAACAATCTAATAACAAGATCGTTTTTACGGGAACATTTAATAAGATGCTTGATTTGAATTAAGCAATTACAGGCATTACACCTTCCTATGATTAGGGAATGCCCTGGAGCCTCTATTTACAGGCATTACACCAATTAAAGTCCTTGTTCTCCCAAAAAGCCTCATTAATGATTCTCAGTAACTTGCTGCAGGGTAAGAGCAAAGGTGATTAGCAGAATATGTGGTTAATGTAAGATGTGACTACAATTAGACTTTCTTACTGTTTGTGGGGGGTTTGAAGTCGCAGTACAATATGAAGGGACAACTGATACTGAGCTATATTAACACCTCTATAAATATATTTACTGCATAATTGGTTTCAAACTCCTAGTAAATATTAAATTACCAAAGAATATTGTGGACTACACGTCCTTGTTTATTCATCAAGTTCCTGATCCCTGATCCACTTTGTGGCAACCCATTTTTCGCCTCTGATTACTGGACAGCTCCCGTGAAGAGATGTCTGCATTAGAGATTTAGAAATGTGAAAAATCGCAAAGATCACATGAGCAGGATGACATAATATTGGTAATCAATATTCTGCTTTATAAACTAGTAGCCACAGAGGGGGAAGAACGCAAGCAACAAAAGATGAAGCAGTAAAGGAGTAACAGAAAATTTAACAGTAATAACAACATTATAACCTTTATTCTCAATATCCATGCAATGTGGCAATAGCTACTATAGGCTCCCATTCCACTGATTAACCACAGTAATACAAATGTAGTAGGATTGATCAAGAATGGTTCTCGCAGAAAGGAAATAGGAACACACAGAGAAACAAAAAGAACAGAAGCTGAAGCAATATAGAGATGTATCTTAAAGATGTAGGCAATTCTTAACCTTTTTTCATCTTTTCATTTTGTTGGGAACTCCCTAATCAAAAATACAAAGAATGACATATTCTTACATGGATGCTGTATGAAGCTGTAAGGGTGCACAAAGTTTGCCTTGTATCCCATCTAACCTATTGCTTATAATCTCCTTTGTAGCAATTTATCATAACTGCATCTTATATCCAGTCTATAACTCTATATATACTATCTGATATCCCAACAATTGCCATAAACAAGTAAAAGGCGAAAAATTGTTCACTGTGCTTATTGCACAGCTGTGTATATTGTTATGAAGAAAATACAAATGGGATAACAATGAAATCCAAAAGAATAACTCACCGGATCAATTGTACCATTTGGAAACAGTGAGTAGAACAGTAGTCCATCCCCTCTACGCGGCTTCACTTTCAAACCAATACACTTGCGGAAGTCATAATTAGCATCCATGTTCTGCCCATTCTGTAAATTAACCAAGGACTAATTTATCCAGCAGAACAGGGAGAAAAGTAACAGTGGTCCAAGATGATGAAACAACGGTGAACTCACCTCGAAAGGAAACATGGTTTCTCCACCTTCTTCCACATCAGATAAATACAATAAAAAGGATGCAACCTAAATGAAATTCATTTTAGTCAGGACACATGAAAGTAATCACTACTCAAAATTTAACTGCAACTGTACTATATTACAATCAGACATGTTAACGTTCATAAGCTTTGCAGAGGCTAAGGTAAACTTGCTCTAAACACTTTTGGGTCTATCTAGAGTATACTTCATTCAATCTGGGATAAAGCTGTGTTGTTTGGAATTCTCTCTCATGTGACATTTTGCTATAGAGAGTTCCACAGAACTGCATAGAATGAATGCTGTCTGCAGCTAGTGGTGATCCAAATAACAGACCATGGTGATTCCATGCAAGGAAATGAAATCATTGCAATCAATCAGCAAATTTGTGCCATAGGAACAATAACTTCAAACACTTTACTTTTTTTCTTTTTCTTCTTCCATATTTCATATTTTTGGGGGAGAGGGAATTGGGAGAAACATGCAAATGAAAACAAGACCAACTTATCCAAATAACCAAACGCTAATAATTAATGCACCACTCATGATGCTAGTTTCTGTAGGACTTATTGAGCTACTAGACAATTCACAAGTCAATTGGAAAAGTTAACAGCAACAATTCATTGAAAGTAGTTCGTACATACCCTTTGGCTCTTCTGAGGACCATATTGAGAAGGATCAAATGCATCATAATGTGAATGATAACTCTGGCCGATTTCATACCGCAACACATTAAATGCCTAAAAACGCAGAGGAGAACCGATTCAAGTTAAACAGCAATTATGTTCACAGTTCACCATACTTAAGTGTTCTCATGAACAGAAGAATCAGTCAGAATTAGTAAAAGCAATTAAGAGAAAGTTCAGACACAAAAGGTTAGCAGCCTAACTAGCTATCAATTATCGGATGCATAGGCTACATATAGATGCATTATATGCATCATTACATTTAACTCAAAATCCAAGGGAAATTGAACAAGTATTCTAGGAACACAGCACAAGAACACCATCAGTTTCAGATAATACTCAAAACCCAGATTTTCCTCATTATAAATTAAAGCATACAACAGCGAGAGATGCTCAGTTGATTATAACTTTTGGACACATTGAGTCTCTGACTTTCCTGTTAAACTGCACACCTTGATCTGTTGTCTCATTTTGTCATCGAATAAGTCTCTTGTTAGAATACTTAAAGACCACACCATGTGACAGCTGGCTAGTTGATCTAGAAGTGAAAACAAGCCGTCAACTACATTGAATGAGCTTTTCTGCACGAGTAAACTTGGAAACAGAAGAGAGCCCAATAGGAATATACATATTATTTTTCACTCATTTCGAACTAAATTGGCACCTTTCTCAAAAATTCATATTAGTAATGATATTTATCAGTACACCAAAGGACTTGTCCTCTTCAGTATTGATCACCTTTTGGAAGGACGCATTACATTGTGGAGACTTACAAACTCTAATAAATAGGTGTTCCAGCATTTTACAAATGTACTATCAGCTATGTTGCTCAGATCCTGCAAAATGCAGCTGCACCCCATATCTAATCCTCCGAAAATGCATTATTTTTGGAGGATCTAACACACATCCCACGACTTTTTTGGAGGATCAGAGCAGCATAGACTTTCAGAGCTTGAATCAACTTAGTTTTCAAGAAAATAGAAGGTGCGGGAGAGGGAAGGAAATGAAGAAGCTCTGGAAAAGGATTCGCCACCAATGGTACTGCTATTATGTCCTCAGCTAGAATCCAATTTCAAATGTATGGACGCAAAGATAAAACTGATATACAGTGAGAAGCGCTTCATGCATTATATTTAGGATGCGTGCTTTAAATGAATTTTACCTCTCCATGTGTCCTGGGGATCATAGTCGCCCTTGCAATTTTTTCCTCAATGAGGTCCAAAATTCCAGTTTTGTCTTCAGATGAACTGATAAACATGCCAGAACTGGGGAAAAGGAAAGAAGTGTAAAGTTCATGCAAGATTTGTAACTTGTCAAAACCAAAAGAGGTGGAAAATTCCAGTTTTGTCTATAAAATAGTTCTTTCAAAAAAAAGATCAAAGAAACTCTAAAAAAATGATCAGGAATGGAAAACAAGACACATGGCCAGTTCAAATACCATGAACAACTGTCTTCGATAAAAGTATAAAATGTATATGCACACACCCAATTCATGGTAACCTACCAGAAATGGATATTACGAAAATATGTTTTAAGTTGATTAAGAGTTAGAGCCCGTTTAGATGGGCTTATTTTAAGTGACTTTTAAGCATAAGCCATAAGTTAGGAATTCTAGCTTTTGGCTTGTTTTTGTCATTTTAGCTTAAAAACAAGTGCTTAAAAGCACTTCTTTACTTTATCCAAACACTACAAAATAGCTTAAAAGCTATTTTGGCTTAAAAACACTTAAAATAAGCCAATCCAAACAGGCTCATAATCTAAGACATTTTCAACTAACTCTTGGAAAGAGTAAAAAGATCAAAGATGCATTTATGATTAAAAGAACGGAAATTTCAATCAAGACATTGTAATGACTTGAACCTTAATAATATTCTTGGATAGTGTTAAAGATGGGGTCAATTGTTTTGGGACATGGGAGAAGCAAAATAGAAGGTCATTCACAACCCCCAGAGTAGTGATTACCTTGTTCTAATTCCTTTGGTATTCTCTGCTGTTTCTCCTTTGCGGAGAGCCAAAGCTGATGGTTTCAGCTCCGCCTTTGCCATCTTAATAATGCCTTGGCATTGTTCTTCAGTTGCGAAATTGGGAAAGTATACTGCACGCGGGAACCAGCTTAAGACCTATCCAAAAGATTGAAATCAGCGTCATAAAATACACCAAAACAAATGAATACAAATGTGGATCAAAGATACAGACTTATATAGTAACAAGTTCACCATAAATAACAGATTTCTAAATTTACTAGCTTAGGGATAAAATCAGGATGCTAACATGGTCATTTACAGCTACAGCTATTATGCGAATAGACTTAAATACATGCCTAATACTGCTGCTTCCTTCTCCTCTCAACACCCCCAACCCACCTCCAATCGGTGGTAGCAAATACAACAACAACAACAACAACCCAATATAATCTCACTAGTGGGGTCTGGGGAGGGTAGTGTGTACGCAGACCTTACCCCTACCATGAGGTAGAGAGGCTATTTCCAATTGACCATCCTTTCCTCCAAGAACTCCCCACCATGCTCTTGGGTGACTCGAACTCACAACCTCTTGGTTGGAAGTGGAGGTTGCTTACCATCAGAGCAACCCCTCCAATCGGTGGTAGCAAATGGGAATCATAAATAAATAATAAAATAGTAGACTGGATATGTTGTTTTTGTTAGATGAGGTAGCAGAAGAAGAGTAGAAATTAGGGGATGGGTATTTATTCTTAGTCTTACTTAATTACCCATTTATGTTACTGATCAAGAAACAAAACACCAATTGACGTTACTTCAGCTGTAACAAAAAGGGGTGTCTTTGCATCAAAGGCAACAAGCTCAAGTAATGCTAATGTTGATTCATCAAATAGTTCAAAATCCAACCTTTTGAACTATGCAAACAAATAGTAATAATTTTGGAGCACAAATGGTTTTTTAAAAAAAATCCTGAAATCGACTAAAAATCGAACCAGGGCTAATCAGCAAAGAGAAAAGAAATCCCAAATTTGAGAGTTGAAACGACAGAAAATGACCTGAAAGGAGATGGAAGTGAGGGAATGTTCTCCAGTCTCGCCATTGGGCAAAGCATCAAATTCTTCCACAGATTCAAGCACCCTCGACCTCGGTCGTACACTATCTACTTGTACATCCTAATCGCACCCAAACACTTTGATCAGTACATGTATAGAATAGAAAAATCCATCAGTTACGAACTAAAAATTTACTAATAGGAAGTCTACCTGCTGAGAGATGAGAGTAGAACCGAATAAACCGACGAGGAAGAAGAAAAGACAAAGGAGAAAAACCGAAGGTAACCCTAAGCTCCACCATCTTTGTCCCAGTAATTTGCCTCTGCTCTTCATGTTTTTCCGCTGATGAAGAAAATCAATTGACTATAAGAGACTTTAGTTTTCTTAACTGATAATTTCTTTGTGCTATTTAATAACAGCCCAAATACAGAGAGGGAAAAAAAAGACGGGGTGGTGTGAAGAAAGAGTGTTTGTTTGCATATGTACGATCTTTGACTTCCGCACGCGGCGGGAATTCTTTTCTCTCTTTTCTTCTTTTTTAGTTTTAGCTGAAATTGGTCATGTCATGTCATTTCCTGTTTACTAGTAATAGACTCCAGCCTACTAGTAACCTGGAAACTAATTGCAAATAAATATTATATTGAGTAGAAAAGAAATTGGATTATTACCTGATAAAATCAGAGAAATTACATTGGACATGTAAAAAAAAATTACATCATAAGGGGACGTTGGATAATTTTTAAACTGTTTTAAGTTAATTACTCAGGACCCGGGCTCTATATAGCTGATTGAATAAAAAAAGTTCAAAAATTATTTTCTTTTAAAAACTTAAGTAGGCGTTTGGATATAAAAATTACTCATAATTTTTGAAAAAAGTATTATTGGAGTTAAGTTGAAAAATGGTATTTGAAATTTGAAATTATGTCTGGACATGCATTTTACTTGAAAATATGTTGCAGTTTTGTGAGTGAGGAAAAATTTCTGAAAATTTTGGAAAAGTGATTTTGAAAAACTCATTTTCGAAAAATTTCAAAAACTTACAAATTTTTAGGGATAAACACATTCTTTAAAAAAGTTTGAAAAAAAGGAAATTTTTATTATGGACAAAGGAAAAAATCTCTCAAATTTCCGAACCAAAATATAGTGCAGATCGTGGTGGATTTTTTTGTCTAATTTGCCAAGGATATATCATATATTAGTAACTTAGTTTCGTGTAGGAAAGCAACATGGTTGAAGATCCGATTAGAAGTCTAAAACTATGTAGTAAGTTAGTAAGTAGAGTCCAACTGGATATATACTTTTCCGCATCATTTTCATCAAATTAATAGATGTATAACTTGTATTTTTTATATATATTTTTTCATTTAAAATAATTAATTAATATATATTCTTGCACAATTAATTACTTAATCATAATAAATAAATATAATTATATATAAATATTGAGTGCGACTAAAATTTTATGATTGACTTAAGATATGGGATAATAAGTTGAGCCAAAAAAATATTTTTATTTATATATACTATATTTTGACTCTTCTTCATTTTTTTGCGTGCATATTTTTTTTTGAAAAATTATCCGTTATGTTCATTTATAAGTAACACATTATAAAAATTTGTCAATTCATAAAATATTATTATTATTAGCCAATTAGCTATTTGTAGCAAAAAAAGGTCAATTTTTTGCTTTGTTTTGAGCGGGTGTTAATAGAATAAATTGGGTACATCTTAAGAAGCTTGAATTTTAATTTTGGGATGATTTGATAGAGTTTTGAGATTGTTTGAATTGAAAATTTGAAGTAGAAAACCAACATGAAAAAATGATACGTGTATCACACTGTGTATCACATAAAATTGTATCAAATGTGTATCACGTGTATATCCATGTATACTTGTGTGTGAGATACATACGCAGTGCATGTTTAATACATATGTCGCAGAAAAAAATTTTAAACTCGATTTTAACTACGAATTTTGATACCAAATCAGTCCAAATCACTTCCAATCATCCTCAAATTTTGTATATTGACTCATCTATATGTTTCAATGAATTTCAATCATACCCATTGAAAAAGATCCCTTTTTAGCTTAAATTTTTGGAATCTTATATATATATCTTTTTTTGTATTTCATCACCTTATTTGCTATGAAATTTCCTTTCTGTTTTGCATCGAATGTTGTTGATCACACTTAAAAATATGGAAGGAGATCTTTGCGTGTAATTCTTGGAGAGAAAGAACCTTATTTATTTGGGTTTTCAGTTTTTATACGTATTTGGCTAGTTTTGATAAATTTATGATTAATGACTAGATATGGTAAATTGAGACTTATTTGGGATATTTTTGTAAAATTTCCTTCTTTTAAAAAAAATATATTTTGGTATTTCTTAGTAAAATCTCTGGGCTGCCACTGGCCATGTGTCGCACGGGCAGGTGGAGTCCACTCAATGGTACGCCAAAACAAAAGCGCACTTATGAAATTGTCCTATCCACAAATTACTTTAATAAATTCCCCTCATAAGTCATGTACTCTCACATAAAAAGCAGAGAAGAAACACTTTCAGAAAACTAAGAGGGTAACACTTGTCTTGTTATATGGTAATTTTACTTCAAATTTTTTGCTCTTCGTGAATCACTGTTTGCAATCTAAATCTTACTCAGATCATTTATTGACACATTACGTTTAATAACATCTAATCTGTGCTACCTAACCTTTATATTACAAGTAAAGAAATCAACTATGCGACTTATGTTTTGATGGAAATATCTTGCCTGTTCTTTATCAAACATTTTTACCCAGGATAGAGACATATGGCGTATGTTCATTTCAAAGAAAAAAGTTGAAGGAATCTTCCTTTTCGTACTGCTACAAGAATTAGCCAATTTAGGACCGTTAAAAAGGAATAAAAAGGGGACAAATGTGTCTATTTTTCTTGCATTAGAAGTACGAAAACGTGAGAAAATGTAAACAAATCAACTGTGTCATAGAGGAAGAAAGCAAAAAAAAAAAAAAAAAGGTATCAAGAGGACAGAAAGCAGATCTTACATGATTTTGTTACTTATTTCCCTAATGTGTAATAATCATCCTCGTGCCAGTAAGATAATTCTTTCCAATATAAGACTTATTAGTCCCAAATTAATCCATTTTAGGCAAAAACAAATGTGCCATTTATGGCTCCTCTGCAGATTTTATTTATGGCTCACGAAGTCATGATCGCCAACAACTGTATTACTAGTAGATTATACTCTCTCCAATTCATTTTAAATGTCCTTTTTAGTCAAACAAATTTGATCCAAAATAAGTGTTAGAATAAGAAAGGTATTAATTAATGACTTTTTTAGCCTGAAATTAGTTTGAGGGTTGAAGATTACAAATGTCCACTTTTTGCATACTTTTGTTAAGGGGTATACGTTAAAATAGTCCACCCCTTATATGTTAAAGACCATTTTGATCATTTTCTCTATATATCTCAATCGATCGACCAACCAGCTTCAATTTTGTTTCAAGATCAAGTTTTAAATGAACCTCATGTTGATTAGAATTAAAAAATAAACATCTTGCACATTCACCTTCTAAGAGATTCATTTTCGATTAAAAAGCAAACCCATTTACCCTTCATCATTTCTTTCGCCATTCTATTACTACTTAGCTTTCTCAATATTTTCTTCACAACGACAACTTTCATTTATTGTAAAATGGGTATCATTCTTCTTTCCATGATTATCATATGGCATTGAAAAGTTCTCTACATGTATTTGTAGTTATTCTATGAGCTCTAATGCGAGAAAAGAGTGACCTGAAAACTTAAAACTTTGACCACTGGAGCTCGTAACTTGACCATTGGAGCTCGTCGGACTTCAGAGCAGCAGCGAGGAACTATCAAGAAAAAGAGAAGAAAAAAACAGAAGGGGATAGGAAAAGTTCTAACATACTACAGTTATGTATCTATTAAGAAAATGGTTTAAATACGGAGTAATTATGAAAATTTGATTATGTATCTGTCCTACGCGTGCGTACGCTTAGCTTTTCAACCAAATGTTGGCGGTAAATGCTTATCATCTTGACATTAAGGTAGCGTTTGTATTAAGTTCCATGGAAGAAGACATGAATGGGGAATTGAGATGTGAGGCATTACAGAGAACTCCATTTCTCCATTATCGACTGGAAAATAAGAAGCTAAGAAGAGAGTGAAAGTTCATTACACTAGATACATCTAACTATCACTATTAATACAGCTAATTGGTTAAGTTAGTTGCTAACTTCCATCTTGTACACTTTGACCCCTAAGCTTTCTGTACATATATACTATACACTAACCCGACTCAATACTCCCCCTCAAGCTGGAGGGTAGAAAAATATTCTTCACTCCAAGATTGCAAAGCAAATGATGGTGCTATGTTCGGCCAAGTCCCTTAGTTAGTAAATCTGCTATCTGCTCCTTAGTGTTCACATGTACGATCTCTATGATACCAGCCTTTATCTTCTCTCTGATGAAATGACAATCAATGTCAATGTGTTTTGTGCGTTCATGAAAAATGAAATTTGCTGCAATTTGGATTGCTGCCTTGCTGTCACAAAACAGAGCAATACGTAATTGCAGCTTGACATCTAATTCACCAAACAGACCAATGAGCCAGACAATCTCAGCTGCAGTTGAAGCCATGCTTCTAAACTCAGCTTCAGCTGAACTCCTTGCCATTGTTTCTTGCTTCTTTGATTTCTAAGAAATCAAATCATTACCATAGAACACCGAGTAACCAGTGATTGACCTTATAGTTTGAAGGCATGCTCCCCAATCAGCATCACAGTATACCTTCAAAGTGACATCACCAGATGAAGGCAACAACAATACTTGCCCTGGTGCACTTTTGACATATCTGATAACTCTCCTTGCTGCATCTAGGTGAGATTGCTTTGGAGAATGCATATATTTACTAAAGATCTGTACATCAAAAGATATATCCGGCCTACTCATTGTTAAGTATAGTAACCTTCCCACTAATCTTTGAAATTCACTAGCATCCTTCAAGAGAGGATCTTGGGCAGTATCTATTGAAGAGGGTATCAATTTGTCAAAATCCACAGAAGTCAATTTTTGATTTACTTCTAATGGTGTGCTAGCAGGTTTGGCTCCTGCTAATCCAAGTTCTAAAATTAGCTCTAAAGCATATTTACGTTGGCTCATGTATATGCCTTTGTTAGATCTAGCAAATTCAATCCCAAGAAAGAATTTTAACTATACTAAGTCCTTCATTTTAAAGAACTGCTGCAAGTTGTCCCTTGTCCTGTTGATTTCTGTAATGTTGTTTCCAGTGACTATCAAATCATCCACATAAACTAGCACTAGAAAAATGTAAGCATCAATCTTTCTGGTAAATAGAGAGTAATCATAGTGACTTTGGGAGAACCCTATGGTCTGTAGTGCCACAAATAGCTTGATGTTCCGTTGTCGGGATGCC